AGGGAGGGAGGGAGGGAGGGAGGAAGGGAGGGAGGAAGGAAGGAGAAAAGAAAGTTTTAAAAAAGAAATATATAAGAATGAAGTGAGAACAAAACCTCAAAAACCTGAATTTCACAACATCAGAAAAAGTCACATGTGAGCTGAGCCAGTCTTCAAAATTTTGTAATGATTTTAAATTTTATAATAGGAAACAAAAATATTTTATTCATGTATCCATCCAGCCAATACATCAAATATTATTCTAGAGAAAAGGAATCCCTTTGTAAGAAGTACACCAAGGTCTCCAACTTCATGGAGCTTACACCCAGAGGGGAAGGCAGTATGCGAGAGCTGAGCAGGTGACACAGATGTGTAACCCCAGCTGCAGGTGAGCAGTGTTTCTGGGGTGCAGGAGGTGATGGAGTAGGTCTGAAGGAAGAGCAGAATTTTCCTGAAAAAATCTACTGGATAATTTCTAGGTCAAAGGGTACAAGTATTCTAAATCATGATGGCTCTTGTCAAGTTGTCTGTCTTTTTGTTAGGGTTGTACATTCTCCTATATAAAAACATTTGATAAAACCAGTCATAAATAAGCATCTCTTTTTCTATCATCACCAAATGGATAGTAAGGTAAAAAAAAAAAATCTCTATGAATCTGGTGGACAATAAATTATATCATTTTTTAAAATTTTCTTTTTTTTAAATTGTTGATGGACCTAATTTTATTTATTTATATGTGATGCTGAGAATCAAACCTATTGCCTCACATATGCCAGGCAAGCGCTCTAGAATTGAGCTACAACCTCAGCCTGATAAATTGTATCTTGTCTTTAAAAAATAGTGCTTGTAGTTCATACAGATATAGGTAGCATGGATTCAAAACTGGAAATATTTTTTTTAAAAAAGAGTCGGAGACAGGAGGTATTAAAATTCTCTGAGCAGACACATACACACATTTCAAAATAAAATGTTTATGCATTAAAAAAAAGTACTATTGGGCAGGGGTTGTAGCTCAGCTGTACAGGGCTTGAATAGCACATGCAAAGCCCTAGGTTCAGTCCTCATTACAACTTAAAAATAAATAAATAATAAAGATTTTTTTTAAAACTACTATTAAAATAAGATGTTTATATCTTCATGAAAAAAATAGTGCTTGTAATAGGGAACTTTGAAGTCCCCATAAATCTGGATAAAATCTACACGTGTGTCATGATGGCTAGATAAGAATCAGCAGTGCTCTGTGTGAACAGGTTTGGGACAACTTTTACTTGGGAACATTATTTTTAGCTGAAAGATCATCAAGTCTATTTCTTATAGCAAAAAGCCCAACTCATTGAAGAGGTTTACAAATATACTTAATTTGTTTCAACTAGATTGAATCAATGGAGTAATATATGAAAATGAAAATCTCCCACATTGCTCCAAAAATGAAAAGCAGTCAGACCAAAAAGATCAAGATATCCATGGTGGAGTGATGGTGGCTTTAACCACACAGAAATCTGAGGAATGGAAGATGAAGACACTGTTATAAGAGTCCCTTCAAGGACAATGCATTCATTAAGTAAATGTGTCTCCAAGGTTCTGTGCCCTTAGGCAGGAATGAGCAAAACCCTTGCTGCCCTTCATCCTCAGACACTGTGTATAGAGCTTTCTGCAAGCAATAGAAGAGTCTTCCTTGTTCTTTGGCAACTCACCCCATCAAGTTTGATGTCTCCCTCAAAAAGATCCAGATGCAAATCTAAGAGAAGAGTGAAGAAAAAAAACTCATGTTAGTAAATTGGGTTCAAACTCTCTACATAATAGTTGATGTCAGGGCTGGGGTTGTGGCTCAGTGCTAGAGTGCTCGCCTAGTGTGTGCAAGGTGCTGGGTTTGATCCTCAGCACCACATAAAAATAAATAAATGAAATAAAGGTATTGTGTCCAACTACAACTAAAAAAATAAAATAAAAGATGTGGTTAAAAAAAAAAACAGAGATGTACAAACCTTCATTGATATTGAAAATGTCCTGCTCAGTTCCACCATCTATATCTTTGACCAAAACAACAAAGAAAAAGTAAGTTGAACATTGTTTTTAGGATAGGAGAAAATATTTATCAATTATATAATCAAAAGTAAACAAGTTTATTTTGCCTCAGATAAGTGACTACTAGATTCTGATTCAACGTCAATTGATTATTCCAGTTGATTGATTCAGTGTCTTAATCAATCAGTTAATTGATTATGGCCTCCCATCAGCCAGACAGGGAACTAAAGAAAGGGCTTTTGATATTTACTCTGTCCTGTCCAAATCCTTTGAAAGTCAAATGACTCAGGAATAAGAAATTGGTCATTCCATATATTATTAACCTTCAAAGTCCAGATTGAATGACTAGATGAAATAGGAAACAAATGTTTAAAATACAGCCTGTATTATCAGGTTCATCTGATTTAACTCAAAATAACAAAAACAAAGGCAAGCATTTATGGAGTGGCTGTCTGTCACTGTATTTGGCCTTCCCTGCCTGGGCCACCATCTCTTTCTCTGCTGAGCATATGGACCCTGGAAGGAGGACAATATAATATTCCCTTGCTAATTCAAGAGGCCAGTGTTCAATCAAAGTTCACTGCAATTACACATCAGTGCTACATAAGCGATTATGCATTAGGCTTAGGAGTAAACACATCCTAGGTTATTCAGTCATTTCACTATCCACATTACCTTCTTTTACTGTAATCTAGAGGAAAACTCAAAATAGACTCACCAAAGTTTTCTTGAACTGGCTGGGAAACAAACATAAATATATTAAAAACGATATTATTAAATATATTATGCCACGATATATATGGTCTTCCTGCTTCCAATTTATAACCATTCACTGTTGTTCTTTCTTCATTATCATTATGTATTCGTTTCTGGCATGTAACTGAGATAGCTAAGTTGGAAATGTAAGATGATTTTTTTTTTTTTTTTTTTTTTGCAAATAGACTTCTTGCTTCCAATAGAAACTGAAACTGCTTGTTAAATGAATTTGAAGGTAAAAGAAACAAAGAACCAACTTCAAAAGCTGAAAAGAAAGCAGAACATACAACTCTGGCCCTCAAATCACTGTTTACCTTAAACATGATCTTCTAAAGGATTCATGCAGCAATACTTGAAAAGCCTAAAAATGTATTCCCAATATTGAAATATTGTCATTTATGACAAGGCTTTTAAAGGAAATTTTTCTCAAGACTTCATGTCTTTCCTAAGTTTCTGCCTTCAACGACAATACCAAATACCTAAGGAAAAAATAAATGGGCATATTTGTGTGATATGAAAAGCCTTTTTTTCCCCCTGAAAATAGGTTTTCCACAAATGACCACTAGAACTCAGACTACATGCCCAGTGGAAAAAAACTGAGTCAACCTAGAAAATTTTCAGCCAGTGGGATCTAGTATAAAAGATGAAGAAACTGGAACTCGGTAGATGTGGATTGTCTTACTGGCTTTATCAACTAACAGTAATTTAGTTTGCCTTCCTGGTACTATACTGTCTGTAAAATATGGTCAATACCTGCTTTGCATGAGTATTGCAAGAGTTATGTGAAACATGCATTGTAAAATGTAATAAATTGTCACCCAAGTGTAAGGACAATTATATTCAGACACAGCCTTTATGTCTAAACAGAATCATACGAATGCTAACATGTTGGAGAATGACCTGATTAGGTTACCATCATTTTTTACATCAGCAAGTTCCTTGAGTGTCTCATAATATGACCACACACAGCCATACACCCAGAAGAATGCCGGTGAGCCTACAGAATAAAGTTAAAGTACTTGTTCCTAATTACAGCTTTAACCTGTATTCAATGTATCTCTTATTTGCAGTTCTAGTTCTTACTCATTGACTGCCAGCTCAACATAATAACTGTTATTTTAAATCACAGCCACAGGTTTTCCCCCACCCATTTGAAAGTTCATTTAAACCTTGGGCTGGCCTGTGTTTCTATAGGAAAATTAGTCTAAATTGATAAAGATGCAGGAGAGAAATGCCATGCTATAAAACTTTATAAGTGTTCACAAGCCAGGCATGGTGGCACACTCCCGTAAACCCAGGAGCTTAGGAGGCTGAGGCAGGAGGATCACAAGTTCAGAGTCAGTCTCAGCATCTTAGTGAGACCCTGTCTCAAAAATAAAAATTAAAACAGAAAGTTTTGACTATGCCTATGACATTTTTCATACTTCATTCCTGTGTCAAGTTACTCTAGCATCAATCCATATTTCTTCAACAGTAAAAATAGAATGATTTTCAAAATTCATATTTTCCATCTTATCAAAAGAAAACTTATTATATGACATTGAAACTGAAAACAATAATAACTTTATGTCAATGTTTCTGATTCTCTGCCTGATAAAACTGCTTCCCTAAATCCTTCCAGCCCCTGCCTACAAATAAAAATAAAAATGAAAAAATTCAATTGATATTAACATTTGAAACATATAATAAACATAAAAAGAACAATTTTTCCTTAATGATTGATGTCAAATGCTCCCCAATTTTTCTAATTGTTTTCTATACATTATTTTCTTACCCAGCCAGAAACCATGAGAAGGTTGCCCAGGAACAGAAACCAAGACAGAGACCATGAATCCATGTTGTAGCTTCCAGTTGAAAGTTGCAAACTATGACGTTCAGAGTAGAGTTGACTTTTTCAAAAGCAAACATCATAACTTATAGCCTTTGATCTCAATGATCCATCTTGCAGGTCAGTTTGCTGCGGTAGTAACCTCTAATCAAGGAGATAAAGTCCAGTATCTCCAGCACACCTCTGTGGAGGCTCCCCCCACCCCCACCAACATTTAATAGCTAAGTGCCTGGATAAGGCCTATTAATAAAACACATTCTCTAACATATATGTTCTGATTCCTAAGACTACTACTTGAACACAAGAAAATATCAAATTTTCAATTTTGCTTTTTCAAATAATAAACATAACATATATGAACCTTCTTTCTGTCTGTGTAGCCCTGTGATACTTTAACGTACACAGTTATGTCTGATACTCTTTATCATTCTTTTGTTTCTTAAAAATCTATTGGGCTGAGGATGTAACTCAATGGCAGAGCACTTTGCCTGGAAAGTGTAAAACCCTAGATTAGGTCCCCAGCATCAGAAAAAAAAAATTGTGGATTGCCTATAATTTATTTATTTATTTATTTTTATTATTAGTTGTTCAAAACATTACAAAGCTCTTGACATATCGTATTTCATACATTTGATTCAAGCAGATTATGAACTCCCATTTTCACCCCGTATACATATTGCAGATTCACATCGGTTACGCCTATAATTTATTGAGTTATTAAAACTATTAATGTGTCTAGAAAATAGACATAGTTGATATTCATATATAAAGTAGAAAATAGTGACATATCTCACTCCTGGACATTCTTATCAAGTAAATATACACGAGAATTAGGGTTAAAAGGGTAGGAATGGTCACTGATTTTCTAATAAAATGGTGTTTCCAATCCACTTCATTTTTTTTTCTTCTTTTCTTGGAATAACTGCTCTTTAGAAACAACAAAATTCTGATTCAATCTCCTCGGTTTCACTTACTGACAGAATCATAATTTTGAAATACTAAATTTTTTCAGTTTTTCATTCCCCTCTCTTGCTTGGTCTTTGCCCTATTTTGGGCTACTAGAAAGGACCTGGAAAAACATGTAGTATGGGCAAAGGATTTGAGAAGATGCTTCTTTTGTTTTTCTTTTCATTATTTTATTTGTTCTTTTTAGATATACATGACAATAGGATATATTTTGACATATTATACATACGTGGAGTATAACCTATTCTACTTAGGATCCCATTCCGTGGTTGTGCATGATGTGGATTTACAATGGTCGTGTATTCATACAGGAACATGGAAAGTTAGGGCTGATTCATTCTACTGTCTTTCCTATTTCCATCTCCTCTCCCTTCCCTTCATTTCCCTTTGTCTAATCCAACAAACTTCAATCTTCCCCCACCTTATTGTGTGTTAGAATTCACATATCAGAGAGAACATTCAGTCTTTGGTTTGGGGGGATTGGCTTATTTTACTTAGCATGATTGATTCCAGTTCCATCCATTTACAAACAAATGCCATAAAATTTCATGGAAGATGCTTCTTGTATACAAGCAAACTATTCCCACCCTGAGAGGGTAGGTGGAGGGTTAAAAAGGAAAGTTTAAGATAGTAGGTATTGGTCAATCCCTCCAGCCAGGCGAGGTGGTGCACGCCTGTAATCCCAGCAGATCGGGAAGCTGAGGCAGGATGATCACAAGTTCAAAACCAACCTCAGCAATTAAGTGAGGCTCTAAGCAATTTAGCAAGACCCTTTCTCTAAGGAAAATATTTTTTAAAATGGCTAAGAATGTGGCTCAATGGTAAGTGTCACTGGGTTCAATCTCCACTACCAAAAAAAAAAATCTAGATCTATCCCTCACTATTGAGTCTCTGAGACTTCCCCAGTAGTTGGTATAATCCAAAAGCAAATAGGTCTATTATCTGGGTAGAGTCCCAGGGAAACAATATAACAGAAGAAAGGGTGTCTTACAAAAAGGAAGAGAGGTCCTGTGATGGCAAGACTGGCACCGTAGTACAGGGAAGGTCACCAGCCCTGAAGGACTATGTGGATGGGAATAAGGCTGTCCTTTCGGCAGATTACACAGGATGATAACCAAGGGCCAGACAGAGGGACTATTCCAAAGGATGTCTATGTGAATTGATTTCACCCGGAATCAGATGAGGCTCTCCCAAAGCCTTGGGTCAATTAAGTTTAGGCACAATCCAAAGGCTAAAAAATTTTATGTGAATGGCTACAATTAAATCTCTATCACCTACATGGATGGGTACCTCAACTGATAATTACTGCTACAGAAAAAAAATATTTATGCATATCTGTTTTGGTGAACCGAAGTTTGGAACTGAAAGACGTGACTGCACTGTGTGTATTGGGACAGGCAGCTCTTATCACCTGAAGTTAGGAAAAGCGGAAGCAGGATGAGCAGCACCAACAGTTTCTAGGATCTCAAAAGCTATTTTAAGCCCTGATGATAGCATATGAGCAGCGCCTCATGCAGAGTCTCATGGGAAGTCACTGAGGCATTGCTAAAGCCAACTCCAAAAAATGTATTTTGCCTATAATAAATGCGGTGATGTCTTTTACATTTCCTTCTTTTCTGGGTTGTCAATGCAACTCTACTGCAGAAGATACTCTTGACAGTTCTAGCAAACCTTCATCTTCCATCACTTGTATTCTGCCCTTTGGAGGCTTCTACAAGCTTCACAATGACCTTTGGAGTCTAATCCCAGGAAACGGTCTCTGACTCTGTGAGTCCACTTGTGGTCTTTATTTCTCCCAGGCAATAACATCAACAGGAAACCCAGGGCTTGAGACATTAGGACTTATACGTTGCACAGAAATCCACTGGAATCACCAGGAAAGCATGTTTCTTTTAGAAAACTGATTCTCAAAATCCCCAAAGAATATGAGTATACTCTAGACCTGAGGGTAATTAATGATGACTATAGAAAAATTTCTATCAAGAAATAGCATAGCAAGTACAATGAAAGATCCCAAAGACTTGATCTTTTTCTTCTCTCAAAGCCCATATTATTGGATGGGGGGCTCTACTGGGGATTGAACCCAGAGCCTTAAGTAACTGACTAGAATACTTAAGGTTATAGTTGAGAAATACGAGTTGGCATTTTCTGATTTTCTTTTTCATTTTCTTTTCTTCTCTTTGGGGGGACAGGATTGAACCCAGAAGTGCTTTACCACTAAGCCACATCCCTAGCCCTTTTTATTTTCTATTTTGAGACAGGGTCTTCAAGTTGGTGAAGCTGGCCTCAAATTTGATCCTCTTCAGCCTCCCAACTTTCTGGCATTACAGGCAAGTGCCACCATGCCTGGCTACAAAGCCTGTTTTCTTTACTTGATTCGCTCCCTCCCTAAAAAAAAAAAAAAAAAGTGTAAGTTAGGTCAAGAGTTTCTCAATACTAGCTCTTCATGGAATCTGATAAATGCTTCTACAAAATATTGAGAAGGTACGTACATTTGAATTTAAATGAAACTAAATAGATCTAGAAAAAAGGTAAAGGATAAATGTGGAGTGATTGTAGAAATCCCTGGGAACATAAATTACTAACCAACTAAAGAACAAAAGAGCTCAAAGACACCTGCCCAAGACCCCTGCATTGTTTGGTGCTGCACATACTAAACATTTTTTCACAAGATATTGTGAATTCCTCCCCTCAAATTAAATTGCTTACCCCATGTTTCAAAATTGTTGTTATTTATTAATCAGGGTTTTCCATATCAACATAACCATAGGATGTGTATATAGATATTTATTTTAAGGAACTGACTGATGTGACTGTAAAGGCTGGCAAGACCACACTGTGCAAAGGGTGGCCAGCAGACTGGAGACCCAGGTAGGAAATGAAGTTGCCGATAGAGGATCAAGATTGTTGGCTGGCAGAGAATCTTCCTCCCCCTCTGTCTTTTTTTTCTCTTGAGGCCCACCCACATTTTAGAAGATAACCTGCTTTACTCAAATGAATTGAATATTAATCTTATCTATAATAAAACACCTTCACAATAATATTTAAATTGATGTTTGACCAAATATCTGGATACTATTGGCTGGCTACAGCCTAGCCAAGTTGACATAAGATTAACCATCACAGTTCCTTCCTTAACTTGATCACTAGTTCATAGGGTACCTATCCGTCAGACTGTAGGTCATATTTTTATCTCTTAAAACTATTGACTTCACTGCCAATCACAACCCAGGCTGAAGGCAAAGACACTATCCACTGTTGTCATGATAATTGAGACCAACCACACAGTCCCATCTTCAATGACCAGAAGTAACACTTCACATTTTAAGGAATCAATTTGAGCCAGGCACAGTGGAGCATGCCTGTAATCCCAGTGGCTCAGGAGGCTTGAGACAGGAGGATCATGAGTTCAAAGCCCAGTCTCAGCAAAAAAACAAGGCACTAAGCAATTCAGTAAGACCCAGTCTCTAAATAAAATAGAAAAAAATTAGGGCTGAGGAGGTGGCTTAGTGGTCAAGTGCCCCCGAGTTAAATCCCTGGTACCTGCAACACCCCCCCCCCAAAAAAAAAAAAAAAAGAAAAAGGAAATTTGAGGCAGTGAGAAAAAGTTCTATCCCTACTTAGGAAGATCCTACCTACTCCAACCACCTGGACCCCATTTCAAAGTCTTTTGCTGGGAACCAACACACAAAGGAACAGTGGGGAGAAACCCCTGCAATGGGACTAGGTAAACAGCTTCCTCCTCCGACAATAAGAACAGCAGGTGACTTATAAAATTTGACAAGCCTAATCTAGTTCAGCCAGCTTCATGCTGTTACGAATTTAGCCCAAGCTGAAATGGTCTAATAGTGGGCATTAGCTGACTTTGTGATGGAAAGAGTGACATTAGGAGGCCACTCCTAATTTAACAGTGAGACTGTGAAAGGGATTCTACTCAATTCTACTACCTCAAACTCGGTTCCAATTAACTGCAAACACCCACAAGGAGAGGTGAATCATTTCCATTTTGATTGCCCTTATGTATGGCATCTATTACCAGATTTATTTATTTGTTTGTTTGTTTATTTGCTTCTCCCAAGTAACTAGGAACCAAAGCC